AGACAACACACACGAACTCAGGAGCACAGGCTGCGCAGGTAACACAATCCAATACACAAACACAGACACACAAGCTCTGCACATGACATGAGCCTAAGACAAGCAAAGTCAGACAAATCTTTTGCACATTATCTTGTGGATATTTACTCCTGTCCACTTGCCATTGTGCAGCAGAAAAACGCCCCTCTGTGCCCAATGTGCCTGGTTCAGTCCTTATGTTTTATCCCAGGATGTCCACAAGGCTCATGCATCTTCGTCAGGCCCATCCTGGGTCTAGTGGTGTGAAGGACAGGGACATGGAGGACACAATACAGGAGCTGGAGGCACGAGTTGCAATGCTGGAGAGCCAGAAAGGAGTGCTGCAGAACAAACTCAGCCTGGCCAAGCAACACATCATGGACCTGGGGGCCCGCACTCCATACAAGTACAGCAAAAGTACGTTTTAAGAAATTTGCAAGTAATCCGTTTGAAAGATGTCTGGAAATAACACAAAATCTTGTGGGGCATCTACATCCTTTATGATATTTTTTGCTCCCAATGTGTGTGGATAGGCAAAAATTGGGAGGGGGAGAGTGGAATCAGGAGGGCGGCGCAGACAGCACCGCCTCGATACGGCCTCATGCTGGAAGACACCAGGACAGAAATGGAAAGACTGTAAGTAGGAAACACACAAAGAAAGCACAATGAGTCTATAGCTCTATCTCAGTTATGATACATTTGTTAAATCTTTCTTGATAATTCCTATAGAATTACCTCCTTTTTTCCTCACAACATTTCTCCCATCCAGAAGATCCAATATGACAGACCAGCTGAGGATGACAGAACTGGAACTTACAGCTCAGGCGCTCAGAGACAGTCTGAGAGAAAGAGAAAAAGAGATAGAGGGGACTGTTAAAGAGCTGAGAAACCAACAGGCTGACAGACACAGGTGTGTGATGTAATTATATAGTTATTCACATTGCATAAGCATCTTTAGAGTTGTAGGCAGCCATAGGCTTCAAACTGTGCTAAAGTAACATCTTGCAAAATTTTAACAACCTCCCTAACAAAGCATGGAACAAAATAGCATCCTTCTAGTTGCTACAGTCATGGGAAATTATGAAAAGAAAATACAATACAACTACGTAATGTGCATCAGTCTCATAGAAAAACATGAAATACCCACAAAAAGAAACAACATTTTTTATGCTCACTAACACAAAATATTTTCTTTAGATTTTTCTTTTGTAGCATCCAACTATGCTTTTATAGTAGTTTACATATATCTCATTCATGTGTGTACTGCATTGTCCCTGTTTAATAGTTTTCTAGCTCACAACATGGGGCTCAGCATCCAGAATGCTTTGCATTTTAATGCAAAGCATGTATTGGTTTCTGTGTCTGTTTAATGCTCGTCAAAAGGTTCTATTGTCCATAACTGTATCAAGTTTAATTGGTCAAGCACTTTGTAATGTGTAACGCCTGTTATTGATTGGAGAAATTTGACCTACAGCAGATTTTGTTCTAAGACTGGGTTTATTATCTTGATTGCAACATAATGCCAAGGAAATGTAATAAATATCATGAATCATGATTTTTTTAGAACAACTATCAGAGAGAATGTGGATCTGATCCGTCTACAAAAACAGCTTTCAGACAAGAGTGCTGCCTTGAGGGTGACAAAGGAGAAGTTCTCAGACCTGCAAGAGGTGAGGTCAGAGGTCAGATTCTCCTGCCCCTCAACAATTCTGTTATATAAGTGGACTGCATTGGCAAAAACTTAATTGTAACTTTTTGTTCTATCTAGGCATATGAAAAACAGCTAGAGGAGGTAATATTCCTGGTTTTCAAGCTCAGCATATGTTTTACATTTTCGACTCACTGAGTTTGTACTCACACTAATGCTGATTGTGTCCTGTATTTGCCTCAGAGCCAGAGGTCACTCAGGGAGAGTCAAGGTGCTCTGTTGGAGAAAGTTGAGGAGTTGACTGAACAACTGAAGCAGGAGCGGCAGAGAGCTCTGGCTCTAGAGGGACAGCTCTCAACCACCAGTTTGTCTCAACAGACCCTGGACAAGGTTCCCCATTTGCATCTGTGTCCC